CCCAATGCGCCATGCCACTTTGCCAGTCATACACACGTTTCGATGCGTGCCCTGTCAGCTGCTTGCGTTGCATGTCGCCTTGCTCCACCCTTGTTTTATTGCTTTCTCTGCTTTCGCCCGGTTCCCGTCCCGTTTCGGCGGGGAGTCTATGTTGCAAGTTAGTTCTTGCTTTACCAGACTTTAAGCCCACACAAGCTCCAGCTACTTGCTGCACCATCCATTGGACCACCCATGCCCTCGGGCAGAGGGCCCCGGCAGAGGGCCCCCTCTGCCCCCGGGAAGGCCAAGCAGGTGCGTGCCTTGGGGTGTGCCTGCCCCCCACTCCCTCTCCTCGCATGTACATGTATGTGAGCCGCTAGCCGCTTGCCACAGCTCCGTTGTGGGGGTTGCGTGTCCGGCAGGACGGGGAGCGGGGCCAGGGTGGGGTGCACCTGGGACGCTCAGCTGGGGGGAGGGTGGTCGGAGCCATGGAGAGGGTGCTCCATGGTCCACCCCCTCTCTTGATGCCCCTTGATCACGTGTGCCCCCTGCCCAAGGTCTGCTCACGCGGCCTATCATAGCGGGGTGACTGTAACACAGGAATCCTTGACGCTCCCGCTGACCAATCTGCCCACACATCCCACAGGTGGCTGCCGCCGCCAACCACTCACTCACCATCTATCAGCTGCTTGCCAGCCTGCCCCTACCGCACAAGCTGAAAGGGGTCGTCAACACCACAGCAGCAGTCCATGCCGCTTACCTGGACCTGGCAAACCACTTCCTGCCGCCGCACTTCATTCACAACAACATGAACGACGCTGCCGCCACGGAACGCCTGTGCGGCCTGCTCCTGGCTAACGGCACGAGAGTGGCGCTTGTGGGCAACGGCCCGCTCGGCGACGGCGATCGCACCGCCATCAACGCCGCCCCCACCGTCGTGCGCTTCAATAATTTAGTCCACAAGCGGAACCACGAGCGCTTCACATTATGGGTGATCACCACCAGCCAGGTCCAGGCATCGGCATTCCCCAAAGTAAGCAAGCTAGCGACAGGCGCGCGTGCGGCGCTGCTCTTTTCCAACCCAGACCTGGAGCCTGCCAACGAGCTGGAGGCGGCGGAACAGCTGCTGAACGCAGACGGGCAGAGGGGCGTGGAGGTGCTACGCTACAGCTGGGATAATCCCTTTGTCCAGCGGGTGGGTGAGCTGCTCAACATGAGCGGCATCCACCTGACCACAGGCTTCAGCATGCTCAACCTCGTCCTTCACTGCTTGCCGCCAGAGGGGCGAGTGGACCTGTTTGGCTTCAGTTTTACTGTGCGCCCCGACACGATCGTGCGCGGCATTCACAGCGGGGACATGGAGGCCGCCGTGGTGCGGCTCGCGCAGCACATGCTGCCAGACCGGCTGCGCATCAACGAGACGCCGTGCGTTGCCCTCCGCGTTTGCCACCGCCCCCCCCCCCACCCACACACACACACGGGGCCCACCCTCACCCTCACCCCAACGCATTCTTCTAGCTGAGCGGCCGCCACTCAGCTCAGTGCGGCACTGAGCTGGAAGCCCAGCCTGGGAGGTGGTGGCGCGCATTTCACCCGCCCCTTTGTGGCGCCAGAGGAGGCCGCCGCGGGCAGCTGGGCGCTCAAGGCGGCGGCGGCGGTGGCGGGGCTGGCAACTGGCAGCACCGTGGTGCAGCTCATGGGCCGGCGCGGTGTTGCTGGCGGCACTGGACGCGGCGGCGTGCGGCGTGCGGCGGCTGCTGCTGCTGCTGCTGCAGGATGCGCCCTCCCTCGTTCATGCCATGCAGCTGATGTCTGATGGCCATTTCAGCATCAACATTTGGTTGGGATTTGGTTGTGAAAAATACCGTAGTTCGGGTCACGCTTTGATGGTTCACGTTATAACCATAGGCGGTCCTCAAATCATAGATACGTATTGGGATTGACAGCCTGATCCAGCGAATCGTCGACGCGTCGGCTGGCCGCAGTGTGCGCGCAGGCCCCCGTTAACTAGACGCACACCCCGGGCACCGAGGCACGCCACACCGCGATGTGTTTGCCCTGGTGAAGGTGTGCGCAGACGGTGGATTCGGCCATTGCACGCCGCTGGCGGGTTGCCCACAGTGCCGCCGCCGCCAGCGCCCCGTGCGGCGGCACCCGCCGAGTACCGTGCTGCCGCCTTGCCGCCTGCCTCCCTGCCCCCATGCAGCCACCTGATTCAGACAATACGCATTACTCTGGAGGATCCTGTGGGAGAGACGACTCTTGGGCGCAGGACTGACCGATGGTGGTGGCACACGCAGGAGAGCCCCAGCGCTTGGGCTCTCTGTATGCCTTGCGCAAGCTGCCGGGCGCCCCCTCTCGAGCAGGTGAGCTGGCTGTGATCAAGTCATCTGGTGTGTGCCTCGCAGTACGTGTGTGCGTGTGCACGTGTACAGTACCGGCAGTGTGACCGGCAGCTGCAGCGGGGGCCCCAGGGTTCCCTCCATGTGTGCGGCAGCAGCGCTGCTGCCACCAACCAAACAGCAACATGCGCCCTGCCCTGGTTTCCCCGTTCAGCACTGCTGATACTCAACCTGGCGGGCCTGGTGCTCCTGTCGGCGCGCTATTGGGCGGAGGGCAGCGTTCGCCCCGGCGGCGCAGCACCGGCGGTGCTCCACCCGCATGCCGCACCGCCCACGCCACGCCCACGCGGCGGGCAGAGGGAGGAGTCTGCTCTGGGGAGGGCCAAGCAGGTGAGCATTTGGGCTGCCCCTGATCCCCCATGGGAGTGGCCACTCCCGTCTTCCGCATGCATGCAACCCGCTAGTTGCCCCTCGGCTCACCCTGCCTTCGCCCATGTGTGCACACCCGCAGGCGCCTGCTGCCGCCAACCACACACTCACCGTTCCACAGCTGCTTTCCAGCCTGCCCCTGCCACACAAGCTGAAAGGGGCCGCCAACACCACAGCAGCAGTCCACGCCGCTTACCAGGACCTGGCCGGCCGCCTCCTGCCGCCACACTTCATTTTCAGCCACCTGAACGATGCTGCCGCCACGGAACGCGTGTGCGGCCTGCTCCTGGCTAACGGCACGAGAGTTGCGCTGGTGGGCAACGGCCCGCTCGGCGACGGCGATCGCACCGCCATCAACGCCGCCCCCACCGTCGTGCGCTTCAATAATTTAGTCCACAAGCGGAACCACGAGCGCTTCACATTATGGGTGATCACCACCAGCCAGGTCCAGGCATCGGCATTCCCCAAAGTAAGCAAGCTAGCGACAGGCGCGCGTGCGGCGCTGCTCTTTTCCAACCCAGACCTGGAGCCTGCCAACGAGCTGGAGGCGGCGGAACAGCTGCTGAACGCAGACGGGCAGAGGGGCGTGGAGGTGCTACGCTACAGCTGGGATAATCCCTTTGTCCAGCGGGTGGGTGAGCTGCTCAACATGAGCGGCATCCACCTGACCACAGGCTTCAGCATGCTCAACCTCGTCCTTCACTGCTTGCCGCCAGAGGGGCGAGTGGACCTGTTTGGCTTCAGTTTTACTGTGCGCCCCGACACGATCGTGCGCGGCATTCACAGCGGGGACATGGAGGCCGCCGTGGTGCGGCTCGCGCAGCACATGCTGCCGGGCCAGCTGAGCATACACGATCCTCCCTGTGCTGCCTTCCGTACTTGCCACCGGCCGCGGCGTCGCCCCCCCCCGCCCACCCTCTCCGCCAAGGCATTCTTCCAGCTGAGCAGCACGGAGCCGGAAGCGCTGGCGGCTGCCGCAAGAAGGCGCATGGCGGCCTGAACGCCCTTTTCTTTTTCAGCAAACGACTGGTTGGATTGGCGAAGGGTCAAGACTGGCCCCAAGTACATTTAGAACCTTGGACGGCCTATGTGTGCCGCCAGCAGCAATGCGCATTCAGATGGGCAGCCAGCTGGACGACAACTCACCGCGAGGGCAAGGCAGGTGGGTTGGGCAGGGTGAATTGCTGGCGCCTTGCGCTTGGCTGCTCCAGGCAAGGATGCTTCGTCCAAGCTGCTGTTGGCGGCGGCTCGCCCTGCCTGCGATCGCCACATGTCTGCTGTAATTGCTGTGACCCTGCCCCTAGGCCTGCATCTTCATGTGCAGGTCGCCGACTGCGTTGCATGCTACCAACCTGGCATGGTTGCCGGCTGCAGGCCTCTTTGGAAGGGAGCTGCCCCTTTGAAGAAGGAGGCGTATCTCCTCCAAGTTGGATCCAGGTCCGCCATAGTGTTGTGGTGCCAGAGCAGGCCGCCGCAGACAGCTGGGCGCTGCAGGCGGCGGCGGCGGCGGCGGGGGCGCGGCAGCGGCGGGCGAGCGGGCAGCTGGATGCTGCTGCACCCTGGCGCGGCTCGCGGCCGGGCGAATTGCTGGCGGCGGCGGCGGCGGCGGCGGCGGGTGCAGCGGCGGCTGCGATGCTGGCTCGGCTGCAGCATGCGCCCTTTTCATGCATGCAGCTGCTTGCTGATGCAAATGCACGCTTGTTCATGTGATGGCGCTTTCAACATAATGAAAGGGGGGTACATGCCCCACTACGGTGCCCCTGGGCAAGTTCCCCGCTCATGAATGAATGCCATTAAGCCCTCATCTCCTTGCCAAAGCGGATCCTGCTAGTGCGCCGCCATTCCAGCCGGCAGCAGCGGCCCCATCTGCACGCACACGCGCGTCAACACCCTGGGCGCCCAGGCACGCCACAGACCGATTTGTCTGAAGGTGTGGGAGGCGCTGGATAGCCGATTGCACGCCGCTTGCGGGTTGCCCCCAGCGACGACGCCAGGGCCCCTGCCGCGCGCCGCGGCGCCGCGGCGGCAACACCCCGAGTACCGCACTAAAATGTTACTTGGTGGTTTTTTAGGTGGCATGGTGCTGCCTCCCTTGCCCGCATGCAGCCACCTTGATTCAGACGACACGCCCTAAATATTCTGGAGGCTCCTGTGAGTGAGACGCCTCTTGGGCGCGTGCCGGCTGATGGTGGTGGCGCCCGCCGGAGAGCCCCAGCGTCCGCATGTCTTTCGCAAGCTGCTGGGCGCCCCCTCTCGAGCAGGTGAGCTGGCTGCACTGCACTGGAGTCACCTTCGGGTGTGGTTCCCAGCATGTGCGTGCAGACATGCATGTGTGAAGTACCAGTGCAGCACCAGCCAACGACCGCTGAAATGCGCTGCGCTGCCTGACCTGGTGCCCCCTCCGGTAAAACCCCCACAGCGCTGCTCGTGCTCAACCTGGCGGCCGTGGTGCTCCTATCGGCGCACTATTGGGCAGAGAGCGGCGGCGGGCCCGGGGGTACAACGCCGGCAGTGCTCCAGCCGCATGCCGCACCACCCGCTGCGCCGCCCACGCCACTTGGCGGCGGGCAGAGGAAAGGGTCTGCTCTGGGGAGGGCCAAGCAGGTGAGCATTTGGTCTGCGCCTGATCCCCACTCCCGGCACATGCATGTAAGCCGCTAGTTGCCACGGCTACTTGTCCCTGGGCTGACCCTGCCTTCGCCCATGTGTGCGCGCCCGCAGGCGCCCCCCACCGCCAACCACACACTCACCGTCCCACAGCTGCTTGCCAGCCTGCCCCTGCCACACAAGCTGAAAGGGGCCGTCAACACAAAAACAGCAGTCCACGCCGCTTACCTAGACCTGGCGGCCCGCTTCCTGCCGCCGCATTTCATTCACAGCAACATGAACGACGCTGCCGCCACGGAGCACGTGTGCGGCTTGCTCCTGGCTAACGGCACGAGAGTTGCGCTGGTGGGCAACGGCCCGCTCAGCGAGCACGACCACGCCGCCATCGACGCCGCCCCCACCGTCGTGCGCTTCAACGATTTGTACCACATGCGGCGCGGGGAACGCATCACATTGTGGGTGCTCACCACCAGCCAGGTCCAGGCATCGACATTCCGCACAGCAAACAGACTGGCGAAGGGCGCGCATGCGGCGCTGCTCTTCACCAACCGGGCCATCCAGCCTGCCGACGAGGTGACGGCAGCACAGAAGGCGCTAGGTGTGGGCAGGCGGCGAGTGGCGGAGGTTCGCTACAGCTGGCACAACCCCTTTGCGCGGCGGGTGGGCGAGCTGCTCAACATGAGCGGCACCCGCGTGACCACGGGCTTCAGCACGCTGAACCTGGTCCTGCACTGCCTGCCGCCCGAGGGGCGAGTGGACCTGTATGGCTTTAGTTTCATGGTCCGCCCCGGCGCGATCAAGCGCGGCATTCACAGCGGGGACATGGAGGCTGCGTTGGTGCGGCTCGCGCAGCACTTGCTGCCAGACCGGCTGCGCATCCACGAGACGCCGTGCGCCGGCTTCCGCTCCTGCCGCGGCCTACCACCAGAGGAGGCGGTGCATTGATGGGGCGCATGAAGCCAATTGGCAAGACTGGAGGTTTTGGCAGAGGGTCAAGACTGATCCCAAGACCGGTCCCAAGGGTTTTGAGAACCTTGGACGGCCAGCGGGACGACAAGGATTCACCGCGAGGGCAAGGCAGGTGAGTTGGGCAGGGTGAACCGCTGGTGCCTTGCGCTTGGCTGCTCCAGGCAAGGCTGCTTCGTGCAAGCTGCTGCTGGCGGCGAGTCGCCCTGCCTGCGATTGGCACATGTCTGCTCAGATCGCCACGACCCTGCCCCGCACCATGCATGTGCAGGTGGCGGCCTGCGTGGTATGCTACCCGGTTGGGCCAACCGGGCATGGTTGCCGGTTGCAGGCCTCTTTGGAAGGGAGCTGCCCCTGTGGAGTTTAAAGAAGGAGCCCCTGGGAGGCGTGGCGCACCTCCCTGCAGAACAGCTGGCGGGAAGCGTGCCTGCGCCGTCGCGGCAGCGGCGGACAGCCACCCATCAGCTCATTGGCAGCCCTGCCATCCACACGCCCGACCTTGTCCCCCCACTTGCCCTAGCACACGCGCGCTTTTGATTTGGTTTAGTTTGTGCCTTCGCCACTCTCCAGCGCCTGCCGGATGTAAGCCACGCTGCTTCT